GATTTTCCTGATGCATGCTCAATAATCCAGGTATAAAATTCTAACAACGTTAAATCAGGTCCTCTGGACGGCTTAAATAAATTAAATAAAATACAAATTGTTTAAACAATTCATCCAAAAGATTTTGTCAGTCTGAGGAGCTGCACTAAATTCAGTCTTATAAATAGCTCCTTCTCATAGTGGATCAACCAGTTTGCTGATGACATCCAAAACTAGCTGTTCACTTGATAAAGGAGGACCATCAGTCTAATGATCGATCGTTAGTGCCCTGATAGACGCTTGCTATTCATTGGGAGCTGAGTGATACTAGCAATCCAACATATATAGACTTGGTTTTATTATCTTTATACCTAAAAATAAATACAATTTCCCAAAGGCCTCTGTGCTAAAAGATCACACCACGTTAGAAAGATGCTTCCGCTAGGTTGTTTACGACCTTGTCAAAATCCAAGTTGTAGTGTAGACAACAAGGCAAGAAAGGCCAGTCCTCTTCAAAGTTTTGATGACCAAGCCACACCGGTGTGTACAGACTCCACGATGACTCTTTCTACTGGACACTGGATGATAAAAGGCTCAACTCTGGTGCTCTTCACGGACCCCTCAATTTCTCTTTTCGATCTAAAATCTATTTTAACTATCCGAATTTGTGTTTTTCGATTGTTAAAAACAGCTAAGCTGAGAAGCTAAGCTACAAGCTAAGCTAACAGGCCAACCTCGGGGAAAATAAAACTCTGTCTTGTCGAAGATCCAAAATTCATGGTTGAAACCTGTGCCTTCATGTAAAATGTTGTTTTTCCTCTGCAAAAAGAAGCTGAGAACTTGTTTACTGTATTCTTTATTAAAAGCTTTGTGTGAAAAATGCTATGCTAAAGGGCTCAAACCACACCGAGCATTCGCCATTTTGAGAACTGAAGAGAGACAGCCCATGTGATGCTGCTCGCTCCCCTACTATCCATCCTTCGGTTCAAACAGTACTTGTCTTGTACTTGTCAAACAGTCTTGTACTGCCATCCGGTGGTCAAAAATGGTACTACACTAAAAAAATTAACCAACATTTCTTCTTAAATTTGACAATAATTACTGATTATTGTCAAATTTCAAACAACATCATTTATCGCAATAATTTGAGTTAATCACCCAGCAAAATTTTTCATCGTGACAGGCCTAGGAACAACATGACCATAGGCTTGATTTTACTGTAATGCAGCGCTACTGAACTGGGCAGTACGTGATGGCAATGACATTAATACTTTTAATGTTGTCTATTGAATTGAGACCGTGTTGGCCAATCCTCAAAATCGGGCACAAAAAATGTTGATATCCATAGTTAGAACTAAATTAAAAGTTGAAACCTGTATCTAGCTTGGCAATAGCTGTTTCTAAGGTTCTGTGTCTCAACTTTAAACAGGTAGACGTCACCTCAAAAAAAAGTTTTGTTCTCCATCTGCTGGGTTAGCACGTGTGTTGTGTGTTTGTCTACACTGAGACAATGACAGAGAGCCTCATTGAAATAACAGCAGTCTCCAGGGACCAGCTAAAAAGAGAGGAAGGGTAGGTTAGGGTAGAGGGAGTATACGAGAGTCCGGGGAATCGTTGAAGCTGTGTGTGCGCGTGGAGTGATTCATCCGTCCTGGTGGCGGCTAACCTTGGCACGTCCTGCCACGCGTGACGGGGGTTACACCCAGCCGTCCTCTACACATGTGTGAGTTCGCTGGGGTGTATAGGTGGATGTATTTAGACAAGAAGAGTCAGCTGTTGGTGTGTGTGTGGTTGCATCTACATGAAAGGAATAAAAGGAGAAGAATTAAAAAAAAGAAATAGGAAGGGGAAAAAAATCAGTTGAGTTGTTTGGTGTCTTTGGATGATCTTGCCCATAGGAGAAAGGGCAGAAGCAAAAAGGCATGAAAAATGTGTTTATAAGTGTTTGGCCCATTGTTCTATAACACACATATTTAACACACATACACTGAGTACATTCATGCCTGCATCAGTAAGGGAAAGTGCTTCAATTCTAGTTTAAACTTGAAGAGTCTGACGGATCAGATGGACCGTATCATGCGTTATTGGATGTGGAAAGGGAACTCTGACACAATCGATGCCAAAAACCAAAAACAACCTGAACCTTTCAAGAAAGGGGAAGCAGATTTAGGGGAAGTTCCGAAGAACTTGGTTACAAAAATAGCAACATACGAACACCTGAAACATAAGCGCACCCAATCCTTGCTCATTTTCTGTCATTGTTTTCTAAAATGGAACATTTAACACTTGACAATTTAAAAGGAAGAATAAATCCCCTGCTTAAGACTCAATTTTATTATGATCTAATTTATTTATTTAATTGATTTATTTCAGACAATAAAAAGTAAAAAGAAAAAAAAATTGCCATGCCAAATGACATGCAATTTTTCATAATTTGTGCGAATAGTGTTAAAAAATTTGTTTGATTTTTTTTCCCGAAAATTCAAACAGAGAACAACATAGATGGATTGTATCTTTTTTGTTGTGCTTTGAGTATTTTTCGTTTAAATATATTATTTTATTGTATTGTAATCTGGTTTTACTGTACAGTAAAGCCATTTGTTTTTTTGTTTTTTTTCATTCAAGCTTTATTAATACGTGTTAATCCCATTGAGCCTCGGGGACTCGTTTACAAGAGAGACCTGAATTTTTAACAAAGAGTAATGGCAACAGTAAACAACAAAAAGACACAATCATAAAACATGCGTACAATTTTTTTTTTTTTTAACCCAACCTTATTGGTTTAACCCAAATTGCTTTTGATGTGTTTTGTAAATATGATTGACATTGCCAAACTTGCAGAGCATCATTATTTGATGGCTGTTCAAATAAGATAAGGTCATTGCAAAACAAATAAATACAAACTTTAAAATACAGAATTGGTAAAATACCAAAAAAAAACATCAATTTGCACCAAAAAAAATGTCATTTTATGCTTCATTATCTGCTGACAATTTTCCAAAAATACATATAGTTTTAGGAAACTTTACATTGACTGCCAAATGACAAAAATGTGATGATGTTGGTGTGTTTGTGTCTGCCCGTTACCAAAATATCTCATGAACCACCACTAGATGGATTAAATTAAAACCTTTCAGGAAACAATCATTGGAAAAACATCTACAACTATTTAACCTTAGGAGCCAACCCAATTTAAGAAGGCTGCTACAACTGATTGGCCTTATTCAACACAAAAATAGCTACAACTTGGTTAATTTTACAACTATTGAGATGAAAATGTGATGCGGTAGTAGCAGTCATTTATAGCACATACATCGACAATGGCATTTCACAATGTTACATGAGATCAAGGTCTGACCAAAACAGCTACAACTCTCATTTCTCAGCATAAGATGGTCTCTGTCTCAAACTCTGGTGGAGGGCAATATGAATTTCTAAGTGTTTAACCTTTTTGACTATCTCAGGTTGTGATTCCTGCAGTCAGCATCCCATATTAGTATCTTCAACTTTTCAGCACTGTACAAATGGACTAATTATATAGCGCCTTTCTATCTGATCAAGATACTCAAAGCACTTTACACTACAATCTGTGTCCTCATTTACCCATTCATACAGCACTCTACTAGCTCTCTACAAAGCTAATTGAACAAATCATTCTCGAGAGACTAATCAGTGCATTATCACATTCATACACTGATGGGACACACATCCGAGGCAATGAGGGGTTCAGTGTCTTGTCCAGGGACACTTCGGCATGTGACTGCTGGTGGATTTGAACCCCCAACTCTTGCATTGGAGGACAACTGCTCTAACCACTCAGCCACAGCTGCCCTAAAAAGAGATTATAGCAGCAGATTAATGTCCAAGCTTTTGAAATGGGAGTTACCAATAAGCCTAACATGCATGTTTTTTAGTATCTTGCCTTAGTTTTTTAGTATTTTTTGTGAGGCTCAATGGGATTTACTTGTCTAAATAAAGGTTGAATTAATGTTTTTGGTCTGTGGGAGGAAACCAGAGTACCCGGAGAAAACCCATGCATGCACGGAGAGAACATGCAAACTCCACCCAGAACGACCCCAGGCTGAGATTCAATTCGGTGACCTTCTTGCTGAGAGGCAATATTTCTAAAAACTGAGCCACGATGCTGCCCTAAATTCTCCCTAGGTATGAGTGAGATAATGAATGGTAGTTTGTCTCGTTGTGGCCCTGTGATGGACTTGGACCTGTCCAGGGTGTCCCCCGCCTCTAGTGATAGCTGGACATGGGCACCAGTGACCCCTGCAACCCAAATAGGAAGAAGCAGGTAAAGATAATGGATGGATGGATGCTTTTTAAACAAAGATTCCACAATGACAAATGGCTGATAAGTCTGTTAGTTACATTCAAATTATATTTATCATCAAGTCCTCTCAGGGATCGTCAGGATGTGCAGCAAAACTGCTGGCACAGCCCTACAGAACTTCACTTACAAGGCAAGGTCAGCGAACAAGACCAGGCTGATTCTGGCAGATCCTGATCACCCATGATGATTTTTGTACTTTTATTTTAATGTCTCAATGTCTTGTCTAGTATGGATGATGTGTGTGGCTACTGACTGTGAAACTAATTGCCTCTTGGGGATAATAAAGATTATTGAACTTGAAGGAAGAAGCCGGTAAAGATAATGGATGGCTTTTGAACAAAGATTTCACAAATGACTGATAAGTCTGTTTTAGTTACATTCAAGTTATATTTATCATCAAGTCTGTTGAGAAGAAAATGTTAGTCTATCCCTCCTGCTGCCCTCAGGTGAAAATGACCCACGGGGCATCAGTTTGCCTCATGGGTCATTTTGACTTGAGAGCAACAGGAGGTTTAAAATAGAAGTAACAGTTCTGCTTTTGTGAGTTTGTCTAAAAATCAATTGAACATTTACAGTTGAGCAGAGAAAAAAAGGGGAAGGCGATTTGAGGGAAGTCTCTCTAACAATCATAGCAGTCATATCGCTTCTCACAATTTTTGCACTTGTTTGTTTTTTCCAGGTTCCTGAACGGTTTTTGGAGGTGGCACAGGTGACTCTTCGAGAGTTCTTCAATGCCATTGTGGCCGGGAAAGACGCGGATCCGTCATGGAAGAAGGCCATCTACAAGGTGATCTGCAAACTGGACAGTGAAGTTCCTGAGGTCTTCAAATCACCCAACTGTCTCCAGGAACTTCTCCATGACTGACTAGGAAATCAAGGCAGGCGGAGCAAACCTGCAAGGACTGTCAGAAGACTGTAAGAACATTCCTTTAAAGGTCTTCGATAAAATGTGCTTGAAAAGTGTTTGACCCTCATATTCGGAAGAAGTTTATGGACACTTCATTCCAGTCTTTTAAAGACAACACTGCCCTTAAGATTTCATACACAAAGAAATATCTGATGCTCATGTTAGTTGATTTTGTTGGGACTTTTTAGAAATAAAAAGCAAAATGGCAAGCGATTTATCCTCTTTGCACTTCTAGAAAAACTCCATCTCTTCTCCCCCATGTTGTTTAGACTTTCCACCTTTCTCAAGAAAGTTGGACGAATCTTCAACCCATGACTTTAAGGCCGGGGGCGAACTAATAAAAAAAGATGATAATATATTAAAAAAAAAAAAAATCTTTATTGTGGATGTATTTAAGTGACTTTTGGAAAAAAAAGAAAAAAAAAGAAAAACGTTAAATATATGTATTTTTCCCTCCTTTGTATGAGCTGGCATCATTTCTTCTATAAACCCTCAGTCACACGTAGGAAAAAAAAACACCGTAGCATTCCCTCATCTGAACCCAAACAGTCAAAAATAAACTTGTTTAATCCAGATTATCGACCCTCTTTTTACTTCATCTCCTCTTACTGTTTGAGTGTTTGTCCCTTCACAGTATCAGAAATCCATTTTCATAACTGAATCATTTAAATATGAAATTTATTTATCCATCTCATTTCAGAAATATACTTTTTTTTTTTACTTAGTTCGTGTATTTTAGGCCTCATCTACACTACTCTGGATTTTTTTTTTTTTAAGCAGGTTGTTTGCTGCACCTCTTACCCACATGCAAATGGCATTTTTGTAAAAAAAATAAAAATAAAACAAATAAATAATGATTTATAAAAAGCATAGTAAATTTTTCCTACATCTGCCTGGACTTTGGATACTAAAAGCTTTTTTAAATCAATGATGTAACTGCCTTTTTACATGTGCCCAGTAACGCAAACAACTATGGAACGAGTTTTGGTGGTTATTCTTTGTTGTTGTTTATTTTTATAGTTTTTTGGGGTTTTTTACACTTTATTCTGGCGTAAATTGTGTGTTGAAAAGAATAATCGAGAAAAAAAACTATCAACAACTTTAAAAAAGACGAGAAAAGCGTTATGGGAGAACTTTTAGCCAAGACAATATTTTCCTCTGTGTTTTGATGTCATTTATGTGGACGTTCTCGCCACTTAGTGGTGATCCATGGGTATTTCAGGATTTTTGTTAGAATATTGCAGACTGAGATGGTTTTTTTTTCTTAAGAAACAAAGAAAAAAAAATATCCAGAGCCATGTAGATGGGGCCTCGGTCATGGATTAGGATACTGGTTTTAATAAATAACTTCAACCAATATTGAATTTGAGCATGTTAGTATTTTATCCAATGACCCCTGACAGGTTCTTGCTTTGTTTCAGTCTAATAAACAATTTAATGAAAGTAAATTGAAAACAACCTGCATTCTCTCTTTGACCCACAACGAGAAACCCCTGCCAGAATCCATGCATTCACAATACTTACACAAAAGTCTAACAATAATTTACCTTTGAGTCAATATACATCACTTTCTCAAGATTAAACTGACCACACATTGGTTTTAATTTATATAAAGCCTTAAACAGATGACAAAAGGATTCAAGGATTCAAGGTTTTTTATTTGTCATTTGCACCACATGTGGTGAATGTGATGGAACAAAATTGTGTACACAGGGTCCCAGTTACATCCAACAAAAGTATAAAATGTGAAAGAAAAACAGTAATAAGATTTAAGATATGAACTAAGAAAAAAGTTAACTAAAAACACACTAAGCACTAGTAGCATAAAAACAATACGCCGAACAACAGCAAAAGGGTTTTAGTTTGCAGTTTTACCATGAATGAAAACTAAGGGTGCATTCACACCAGCCCTGTTTAGTCCGCTTTAATCGAACACTAGCTCGTTTTCCTAGAAAGTCCGGTTCGTTTGGGGAGGCGTGAACGCACCATCGAACTCTGTCACGGAACAAAAAGGCGAACTCTGGCCCGGGCTAAAACCTAGGTCTCGGTCCGGTAGAAGAGAACTCCAGCGCGGTTCGAGTGCAGTGTGAATGTAAACAGACCAGGCCCCGCTCCGCAGGACAAACAAACATGCATTTCTCTGACCTCATATGGAGCCGTCAGCTGCCTTGTGTGGAAAAACAATATTCTCCAGGGACTTCTGTCTCATCTTCTGCTCATGCTAAGTCCATTTTTGAAAAATGACAAAATATAACTCCTAAAACTGCTAAAACTTGATGCCACTCCGTTTTTGTTTTTATTTACAGAAGAAGAAGACGTGTCTTCAGAGGTTTTGTGTTGTTTCTTTCAATAGTTCTTGGTGCAGCGCCCCCACAGGCGAGCGGGGGAACAGGTTGGTTCAACAGGTTGACTCGACTGCACAGTGCAGTGTGAATGCAAACGCACCAGCTCAAATGTAAACAAAAGCTCATGAATATTGGTCCCCAACCAAACCGAGTCTACCGGACTATCAGGTGTGAAAACAACCTAAGAAAACATAGTATTCCTTGAAGAAATGCATATCACCCAATGCCTTTCATGCCAGTTTTAAACTGAGATCATGTTAAGTTGAGAAATTGGTAAATTTACAGAATAAAGTGATGTGAAATCTTGTACAAGTACAAAGTAGTTAGACCTTAAGAGTATGTGTTGAAAATGACTCAACAGTGGTGGGCAGGGTTCCGCTAATCTGCTAACAGCTAATAGTGGAAATAACTTTTCGTTTAGCGGATTAGCATTTTTGCTAACTTTGGAAACAGTTAGCAGACTAATTCAATTAGCTTCCTCTAATTTGAGTTCCCATAACTTTAAGTCTGCTTTTTGAAGACCTCCACACCCCAAAATGTTTACAGTAAAATAAGAGACTTACACAAAACAATGCTATGCAAAGCGCAGTGCTTAATTTGTAAACCAAATTATGCTGGAACGCAAGTAGCAGGGGGTTGGGTCTGGGGGTCCTCCCCCCAAAATTTTTTGAATAAAGTAAATGCCATTTCCTGCATTCTGTTGTATTTTCATAAGTTGTTAAACATCTATGTTTACCTCCATAAGTAAACACTTGATTCAGTAACTATTTTAGAGAGCAACAAGAAGTAGCCTGACCAACAGCTCTCCTTGTGTCAATAGAGAAGGCTCCGCTTCTCTCAAACATGGTAACAGCCCCCCCACATCGACCCAAACCTGATTTTGGCACCCACACACCACTCGCACCTGCTCTAGTAGCATCCCCATTGCCACTTCATTCATGTGTTTCAATTCTCAGTTGTCAAGTTGTACAATGAGAAGACTTTTTAAAATGACAGTAAATTGGATTCTCTTCTCGACATTTATCTCTGTCATTTTGACAAATTGGCGCCGTTTGTTTTGGTACGTAACGTGATTACCTATCAAACGTTTCTCTCGTATTTTTAATAAATAAATCAACATTTTATTAACGACCCACTTAAACTGTAAAACTTATTTGCAATTTAGTTGTGCTATTTAATTATATTTTTGTCTTTTTAAATATATTGCCCATAACTGTACTTTTAGGGCTGTACATTTTTTAAGGGTAGAAGCGGAAATGCTTACTTGAAGGAGCAGCTCTTATGTGATATTAAGAAGCTCGTAAGTGGCTGTTATGTTTAAAATTTGTGTTTATGTAATTATTTTCAGATTACATGCCCAGGTTTTATTTGTTCAAGGCAGTCAAATTTGTTCATAAGTTTATTATTATTAGTAAGCCTGAGAGTTACCGGATCCAAGCAAACAGTTACTGGAATGCACCCTGTCAAAATAAGAGATCCGGAAGGCTCCAGCCCAAATTAAGACCTGGCTTAGCGTCACTTAGTGGCATTACCCTTAAGTCAGGGGACTAACTTTTACCCTCACAGTGCTTTCCCTCTTATTCATACCGGGAACAACCTTTAACTCATGGTGTCAGTTTACAGCCAGTAACAGATATAAATACCAAACCAAACCTGAACAAGACATTAACAAGAACGACCCATTTCCACACTCAGAAACATCGTAAACAATCAGAAACATTGCACACATAATTCCTACAAGGTTACCCAGCATGCCTTGCAGCACAGTCTCGCAGGGACGTGACACACATTTCCCACATATTTGCTTTAATCTGGGGCATACAAATATTTGCCATTTTGTGTTAATAATCTTAAATTATAAGAACTAAATTAGCAGAAATACGAGTCGAAAGGCTGCATGCTCCCACTGTAGTGATGCTGTTTTTGTTTCTCCCGCGGACATGGGAGCTCTGTCACAACTGATGAATTGATGACATTAATCCCACGAGCGAGCGGTCACAACTAAAAAACAGCAAACTGATTATCGAGAGAATATTGGTGATGATGCACAGCAACTTTAGTTAATTTTAAAACGGTTAACTCCGAGGAGGATTGCTAATAAGCGAGTTAATTCATTATAGTCCCTGTGAATGAGTATCAGGTCTCTCTTGTAAACGAGTCCTCGAGGCTCAATGGGATTAACCTGTCTAAATAAAGGTTGAATGAACAGTCAATGACACAAAGGAGACGTCCAACGCACATTGAATGCCTCACTCTGCTCCGCCTCCTTCGTTCCAATGGACCGGATTAATTTCTGAAAGCTCACCTCTAAATGTTTTGTTTTACCTACGATTTATGAATAATTTTGAGTTGTGTTCACTTAAATTAGCGTGTGATAAAAGTTGGCGGTTATCAGTTAGTGTTAGCTTCCGCTAATTATTTTGACCTGTTTAGCAGTTTAAGCTTATTTTTTAGTTAGCGGATTAGCGGTAAGCGAAGCCAACTTTCTAGTTAGCTGTGCCCACCACTGACTCTCAACTACTACCACACCAAACTTTAGCCTAACATCTGGTGAAACTAAAGAGTTTTAGCCTTTTTTTGTGTGCGTTTCTAAGGGCCGTTTGCAATTCCGACCATCAGGTTAACTCCAAAAGGTAATCAGTTTATAAGTTTTAGACGCACGTCCTGAGAATATTTTTCTAAAGTGGCTGATGAGATATTTTGCTAACAAACAGGGCTGACTACAACAGTAACTCTAGAGTTTTAAGCAAAGATTTCATGCAATTAGTAGCACTTGCATTATGTGTTGTGGATGACTGTCTGTTACTACCACACCAATTTTTGCACAATATCTAAAACCAATTGACAAATTTAATGTTTTCTGTGCTTGATAAGATCAATTAGCTCTGGCGATCAACTTACATTTGATTAACTACAAAAGTTATTCAGATGTAGGATGTACATCCAGTGATCACTTGCTAAGAATTTTAATTGAAAAAAAATTGCCCATTGGTTCATGAAATATTTTGCTAACAGTCAAAGAACACAAACATTGGCTTTTGTATGGTGGCCCTGAAGTTCAAACCGCAACTACAAATAAAAAAACAACTACAAATAAAAAAAAAACAACTATGAATTTAAAAAAACTACGAATGAAAAAACTACAAATTAAAAAACTGAACTACAACAAACTGAACTAAGAATAAAAAAAACACTACAAATTAAAAACTGAAGGTTGAATTAAAAAACAACTATG